AGCAGTACTAAGCCTTCATATATCAATAATCACCCTAAGTGTAAATGGGTTTAATTCATCAATCAAAAGACAGAGTGGCCGGATGAATTAAAAAACAAGACCCAAAATATGCTGCCTCCAGGAGACCCATCACAGCTCTAAAGACAAACATAGGTTCAAAATAAAGGGAAGGAAGATGATACATCAAGCAAACAACAACCAAAAGAAAGTGGGTGTAGCTATACTTATATCACACTAAACAGACTTCAAGCCCAAAAAGATAACAAGAGACAAAGATAGACATTGTATAAAGATAACAGAAACAATTGGCCAAAAAACCAAAACATTCATTAATGTATAGGGACCTAATAGAGGAACACCAAAGTATATAAACAATTATTAGCTGACCTAAAGGGAGAAACTGACAGCAACACAATAATAGTAAGAGACTTTCATAACCCATTTATATCAATGGATAGATCATCCAGACAGAGAGTCAACAAGGAAACATTGGCCTTAAATAAACACTAAACCAGATGGACTTAATATATACAAGAACACACCACCCAAAACCAGCAGAATACAAATTCTTCTCAAGTTCACATGAAACATTCTCAAAGACAGATGATATGTTGGGAAACAAAACAAGTCTCAATACATTTAAGAAGATGGAAATCATATCAAGCATCTTTTCTGACCACAACGATATGAAACTAGAAATCAACTACAAGAAGAAAACTGGAAAAGTCACAAATATGTGGAGTGTAAACAACATGCTGCTGAACAACTATTGGATCAATGAAGAAATCAAAGGAGAAATCAAAAATACCTAGAGACAAATAAAAATGAAAACACAACATACCAAAACTTATGGGATGCAGCAAAAGTAGTACTAAGAGGGAAGTTTATAGCAATACAGCCCTACCTCAAAAAACAAGAAAAATCTCAAATAAACAACCTAACACTATACCTAAAAGAACTAGAAAAAGGACAAACAAAGTCAGTAGAAGGAATGAGATAATAAAAATCAGAGCAGAAATAAGTAAACAGGGACTAAAAAGATAAAAGAAAGGATCAATGAAACCAAGATCTGTTCCTTGAAGTGATAAACAAAATTGACAAACTCTTAGCTAGACTCACTAAGAAAAAAAAGAGAGAAGGCTCAAATACACAAAATCAGAAATGAAATTTCTGGAGAGAAATTACAATGGACACCTCAAAAATACAAAAGGTTATAAGAGAACATTATGAAAAGCTCTATGCCAACAAATTGGATAATCAAGAAGAAATGGATAAATTCTTAGAATGATACAACCTTGCAAAACTGCATCAAGAAATAGAGAATTTGAATAGACTAATCCCCAGTAAGAAGATAGAAACAGTAATCAAAAATCTACCCAAAAATAAAAGTCCAGGACAAGACAGCTTCCCTGGTGAATTCTACCAAACATTCAAACAAGAGTTAATACCTAGCCTTCTCAAACTCTTCCAAAAAATTGAAGAGGAAAGGAAGTTTCCTAACTCATTCTACGAGGCCAACATTATCCTGATACCAAAACCAAACAAGGACAACACAAAAAAAGAAAATTACAGGCCAGTATCACTGATGAACATCAATGCAAAAATCCTCAACAAAATAGTAGCAAGTCGAATACAACAATACATTAAAAAGATCATACATCATGACCAAGTGAGATTTATTCCAGGGATTCAAGGATGGTTCAACATCTGCAAATCAATCAATGTGATACACCATGTTAATAAAATGAAGAATAAAAATCACATGATCATCTCAATAGATGCAGACAAAGCATTTGACAAGATACAGCATCCATTTATGATTAAAACTCTCAATAAAATGGGTATACAAGGAAAGCACTTCAAAAAAGCTAAGACCATATATGACAACCCACAGCTAATATCCCTTTAAGAACAGGAAGCAGACAAAATGCCCACTTTTGCCACTCTTGTTTAACATAGGATTGGAAATCCTAGCCACAACAATCAGGCAAGAAAAGGAAATAAAAGGGATCCAAATTGGAAAGGAAGAAGTAAAACTGTCACTATTTACAGATGATATGATTTTATATATATAAAACTCTAAAGAATCTGCAAAAAAATTAGAAATAATAAACAAATACAGTAAAGTTCAGGGTATAATTCCAACATACAAAAATTAGCTGCATTTCTATACACTAACAACGAAGTAGCAGAAAGAGAAATTAAGAATACAATCCAATTTACAATTGCAACAAAAAGAATAAAATATCTAGGAATAAATCCAAACAAGAGGTGAAAGATCTGTACACTGAAAACTATAAAATATTGTTGAAAGAAATTGAGACGACACAAAGAAATGGATTCCATGCTCTTGGATTGGAAGAATTAGCATAGTTAAAGTGTCCATACTTCCTAAAGCAATCTACGTATTCAATGCAATCCCTATCAAAGTACCAATGACATTTTTCACAGAAACAGAATAAAGAATCCTAAAATTTATATGGAACAATAAAAGACCTGAAATAGTCAAAGGAATCCTGAGAAAAAAAACAAAGCTGGAGGCATCACACTACCTGATTTCAAAATATACTACAAAGCTACGGTTATCAAAACAGCCTATGGTACTGGCACGAAAATAGACACACAGATCGATGGAACAGAATTGAGAGCCCAGAAATAAAATCACACATCAATGGACAGCTAATTTTCAACGAGGAAGCCAAGAACAAACAATGGAGAAAGGAAAGTCCCTTTAATAAACGGTGTTGGGAAAACTGGACAACCGCATGCAAAAGAATGAAAGGAGACCATTACCTTACATCATACACAAAAGTTAACTCAATATTTTCCCAAAGAAGATTTACGGATGGCCAACCAGCACATGAAAAGATGTTCAACATCAATAATTATTAGGGAAATGCAAATCAAAACTACAATATGTCACCTCATGCCCATCAAAATGGCTGTTATTAAAAAGACAAGAAAGAACATGTGTTGGAGAGAATGTGGAGAAAAGGGAGCCTTCATACACTGCTGTGGGAATGTATATTGGTGCAGCCACTATAAAAAACAGTATAGAGATTCCTCAAAAAGTTAAAAATAGAACTAGCATATGATCTGGCTGTTCCACTTCTGAGTACTTATCCAGAGAACCAGAAAACACTAATTGGAAAAGACATATGTACGGGTATCTTCGTTGCAGCATTTCTCACAACAGCCAAGATTTAGAAGCAACTAACTGGCCATCAACAGAGGAATGGATAAAGATGTGGTATATATACAATGGAATACTACTCAGCCATTAAAAAAATGAAATCTTGCCATTTGTGACAATACGGACGGACCTTGAGGTTTTTATGCTAAGTGAAATAAGTCAGATGGAGAAATACAATTACCATAAGATTTCACTCACATGTGGAAGATAAATAAATAAACAACACATAGATATGGAGAACAGGTTGGTGGCTACCAGGTGGGAAGAAGGCAAAATGGGTAAAGGGGCACAGGTGTACAGTGACAGATGGCAACCAGACTTTTTGTGGCAAACATGATGCAGTCTGTACAGAAGTCAAAATATAATGATATACACCTGAAATGTATATAATGTTATAAATCAATGTTACTTCAATAAAAAACAGATATAAGCTTTACTGATATTTAATATTTATAATACCCTGGAACTCTGGTTCACAATTGAAGACATTTGGGATTCATACGTAAGAAAATTTTTTAAAAGAGCCAAATTCTGTCATTTCTCCTAAAATCTATCCTAAATCTCTTCTGTCTCAGGGCGGGGAACATCTGTGGGCACTTCCTATGGCCCCATGATGTCATTTCCTTTTGTGGCTATTAGTTCCCTGCAGGGTTTGTGCTTTACTCAACCCAGGCCGTCTGATAACAGATGTGATTTCCAGCTGTGTCTGTATACCAACCACAGCGGGTTCATTAATAACAATTATTAAGTACTTTATGTTACAAATCGAGCCTGTAGCAATAGAGAAAACATTCAGTCATTTGTTTTATGGCCTCTTGTCAGAGCTAACTATAAATTCCCATTATCTCAACATTATCAGCACTGCAAAATTGATCTAAGCGTGAGTCATAAATAAAACTACCAAACAGCTCAATCATCCTGGAAAGAACAGAGCATAAATTAACACTTGACTATGTAATGTTATATATGAACTTAAATAATAGCTCAGGCCTTCCTGTCAGCTAATTATGCAAATTATTATTTTTAAGACTTACATTTGTAGTTGCATAGCTGGTGCATCCATTTAGACACACACAGTTCAGTAAATATGCCGCCCATGTATTGTCCCCCTGTAACCCAAGAGTTCCTACTAATGATGTATGAAGAACAATGAAAATGAAGAGAGAAAAGTGTCAACTGAGAGAATATCTCTTAGGACTATAAGGAATAGGGAAAAAAAATCACATTTTCTCTGAATACTATGTTTCATAGGATAAATCATTAAAATGTGGGAAGATTAATAGAGGAGCCACGAACTGTATGCTTTATTGGTTCCTGAGTGGAAATCCATATGGATTTTCAGTCAATGGTAAAAATATTTATTTTTAATATTTTATCTCTCTGTGTTGGGTCCAACCTGTCTTAAATGATGAAGATAGAACAGAAAGATAAACTGAACACATGAATTTAATTTTTAAGAGAAAAATAGTCAATAAACACATGAAAATTGTTGAAACTCACTAGTAACCAAAGACATGCAGATTGAAGCCATGAGATATTATTTTTCGTATTTTAAAAGTGAATTCCCAGTACTGGGAGGGAGGCAGTGAAGTAGGAAATCCAATCATTTGCTAAAAGGTGTATAAAGAGGTTCACACCTGGAAGTCCATTTGGCAATATCTGCAAAGAGCTCTAAAAATGTCTTACTTTTTTCTCAATTGAGGTAGAATTGACATACAACATTACAGTAATTTCAGGTGTACAACATAATGATTCGATATTTGTATATGTTGCAAAATGGTCACTACAATAGGTCTAGTTAACGTCTAAATATATGGAACTCCTCGTGAATTTGTGTGTCATTCTTGCTTAGGGACAATGTTAATCTTCTCTGTATCATTCCAATTTTAGCATACGCACTGCCCAAGTGAGCACAAGTGTCCATTACTTTTGATCAGTAATTCTAATTCTGGAAAACTTATTAGCTACAGATTTAGTACATGAACACTAATGACGCTGAATTTATAATGGCAAAAAAAAAAAAAAAATAGCAGGAGTGGCCTTGTGGAACAGGGGTTAAGTTCGCATGTTCTTCTTCAGCAGCCTGGGGCTCGCTGGTTCGGATCCCAGGGTGCGGACATGGGACCACTTGGCAAGCCATGCTGTGGCAGGCGTCCCACATATAAAGTAGAGGAAGATGGGCACGATGTTAGCTCAGGGCCAGTCTTCCTCAGCAAAAAGAGGAGGATTGGCAGCAGATGTTAGCTCAGGGCTAATCTTCCTCAAAAAAGAATCATTTTGTAAAGATTATTTAATATAAAAGTGTTCACAGAGTCCTTTAAATAGGTTATAAAATCTTGTGTATAGTATAATTTCAACTATTAATCATATTATGAAGTTTTTACACACACATATATACATACACCCATATACAAGGCAGAAGAAATAACCTAAAATATTGTTTTTTCCACATGATAGAACTATGAATGCTTTTATCATCTTAATAATTTTCTCTATTTTCTAAAATTTCTTTCAGTGGGAGAGAGAGTTTATAACAAATCTGGCTAGTAAAGATTTCAATTCACATTTTTTCCAGGGCTTCCATAACCTGTATCTAATGGACCTTGCCCACCTTGTCTTTCACAAAATCCAACATAACATTGATCACATTCATTTGGTGCTGGCCCTGTGGCACAGCGGTTAAGTTCATTAAGTTCACACGTTAGGCTTTGGTGGCCCGGGGTTCACCAGTTTGGATCCTGGGTGCAGACCTACACACCACTTGTCAAGCCATGCTGTGGCAGGCGTCCCACATAAAATAGAGGAAGATGGGCACAGATGCTAGCTCAGGGCCAGTCTTCCTCAGCAAAAAGAGGAGGATTGGTGGCAGATGTTAGCTCAGGACTAATTCCCCTCCCCCCCCCGCACAAAAAGGCCAAATTCATTTTCTCACTGCCCCCAAGTCATCCTCTGCCTTCCAAATGAGCCTTTGCTCAAGTTACTTTTCCTCTGTATGCTCAAGGTAACAAAGCTAGGTGAAGAAACTTAAAGTTGGAGTCTTAGTGAACTCAATCTCTTCCTGGAATCACATAGAAACAAGAATACCCCGACAGTCAAAAGTAATTCCCCCCCCAAAAAAAACTAGGTTTTTCCTAACACCTCTTAACATACATCAAAAGGGGATCCAATTCACCACCAACAGCCACACTGCTCAAAGCCCATCGTGCCACCTGCGTGTTTCCCTCACACCCCAACAACACTAGCTCTCTTCCACTCTACCCACGCAACTTTTCTCACCTTCTTCTAACCTCCCCTTCTTCGAGGTTCATTTGACCTCTCTGGCTATGTCTTCTCCCTTTTTCACATCACATCTTTTGTCTCTGACCAGTCTCCAGACTGACAAAGGTAGAACTATGAGAGGTGAGCCTCAGTTTCCACATCTGTAAAGAAGATAAAATAATAAACACTGTCCTACTAATAACATAAAATGTGAGGTTTAAATGTTTTAAAACCATAAAGCATTGTACATGTTGTGCCTATCGTACCTCCTTTTTCTCATTCAGGCAAGAGGTATTACTAATATGTAACCAAAACTCTGCCAGCACTATTTTACCCACAACTATGGAAGTTATACTTGATTATTCTCTCTCTTATGCCTTCCAAAACAAAATCCGTCATTAAATTTATTTTAACTCCAAAATAAACCTCCAAGTTATCCACAGCTCTTTCCATTAGCACCAATCTAACCCAGGCATCCGTAGCTTCTCATCTAGACTACTGAAGTAACCCCTGACTTGTCCTCCCATCCACTCCTGCCCACACCACCATACTTCCCACACAGGAGCCAAACATTTTCTTCAAGAAGTTAATCAAAACTAATTAATTCCAAGAGTCAGAATGTTCAGTGGTTTCTTTAACAGACATGATAGGTCTAGTTATTCGGGTAGCTCACAGATAATGAAGTTCATAATAATGGCATAAGAGTACAAAAGAGAAGCTAGAACCCATGAAAAGGATATTTACATGTCAGAGTGAATCTGCAAGTCTGTGCAGTTGGAAGAGAGAGAAGTCTAGTGAAAGCCCCCTCTCACACACACAGCTTCGCTTGCCTCCTTGAATCTGTGAGGTACAAGAGATGCCTATCAGAGCAACTCACCAAATACGTTGAAATTGACAAATTACTCAACTTTACAAAAGATATTTGAACACGTTTAAATTGTTTTTCCCGTGCATGACTGCACTAGTGACATTTGTAAACCAAGCATCACTCTGTATGTACTAAGTACCACAACAGCTTCTTATTGAGCCTAGAATAAAATCTTCGATCCTTACCATTGACCTACAAGCGTACGCATGACATGGCCCCTTCCTACTCTCCAGCCAATCTCTCCATGGCTTATTATCCTTACACTGACTTCTTATTTCTTTCCTATTTCAGCTGTTTCTCACATTTGTGAGGTGCCATTCCCTCTGCCCTACTCTTCACCTGAATAATTTTCACAAGGGTTTAACCATGTTGAAGCGTGGATGTCAAGCTGGTGTTAGGGTTCAACAGGAATGTATTTGCATGGGTAGCTGAGGAGCCTCCTGAAACAGTACCCCCTTAGGGTAAGAAGCATCCACCTACTGAAATGAGTTCAACCCATTAGCACTATTCATTGAAACGAGAAACTGATTCTGAGGGTGGCATGGGCCTGTTGCCAGTGTTGGTTTCATTCCAATCCCACAGACTGGGAGATTTGTGACTGAAGACTGTTTTGTAAAAGTAATTGCTTTTTCTCTTCTGGGAAACTGGTTCACTATACAAAGAAAAATAAGTCGGATCCCTTACTGCATTAGATACACTTAGTCGCTTGTTCAGTATCCATTTCCTTCTTCTTCTTTCTTGATTGAACTTTGGTTTTATTTGGGGTGTCGCTGCGTCAGGTTAAGGGCTTGCTTCTGCATCCTCCCTGAAAGCTCACAGTGTCCGTGTGGCAGACACATTTATGGCTAATGACATACGCAGGACATTCCCAGGAAAAGGAACGGATGTGCCTGACAACATCTTTCCCCCTTTCCCATACCTTTCTCTCTTGAATGTGGACACGATGTCTGGATCTCCAGCAGTCATTTGCTAACCATGAAATGACAAACATGAAGCAAAAGTGGAGAGATTCAGAGATTCTGGCCTGATACCATCAAGCTACTGAACAACTCTATCAGACATTTATTTCCAACTTTACGTGACCCTCCCTAGTTATTTATGAGAGAATCAAATATGTTCATGAAATCTAGATAGCTGCTGTGTTTTTTTCTTCAAGAAACTACTGCAATTTATGTGATCTCACACTTCAGCAAAGCTAGAAAGCCCTTGAAGTTTCAAAACAGTGTGCTGGTTTGTGGTAAGGCAAAGGAGAAAAGCTCTTTCCTTATTATGTCTCAAATTAAGTGTAAAATGGTAATTGAGACATTTTCCTGAAATGCTCCTTCCCAAAAAAGTAGCAATTACAGGAGAGGCAGTGTCCAACTGAGAACAGTTACTGACTTCTGGAAGCTGAGACATTAACAGAAGCATGTAAGTGAAGGAAGTTTTAGGTCATCCCTCTCAGATCGTGACAGATAAGTGGTTGATATAATCAGCAATGATATTAACATCCTAAATAACATAAATAATAGGGTACCCCTAATCGATGTCTACCAAACTTTATTCTGAGGACAGAGGACATGCTGCATTTTCCGAGTGTTCCTGGAACAGTCGTATGGAGTGCTTTCCGAGTCTTAGGTGGAAGAGAGCTTTGAGTAAAACTTGCTTGTACGGTTTCACTAAAACTCTAGAGCTATTCTGTCCACCATGGTAGCCTCTAGACTCAAGTGGCTATGTAAATTTAAATGATTTAAAATAAAATAAAATTTAAATTTGGGTTCTTCAGTCACACTAGCCGCATGTGGCTATTGGACAGCACAGATACAGAACATTTTCATCATTGCAGAAAGTTCCATTGAACAATGTTATCTAGGGCCTGAGACACAGGCTGTATGGCTTGGATAGTGCTCAGTATACAACATACATAACTGGCTTGATTCCCACCAGAAAGTAAGCTCCAAGAGGGAAGAGACTGTTACCGAAATTATATACTGCTCTGTCTCTTATCTCTAGGCAACAGCTTATCCATACCTGGTGGTCAATAAATAATTGCTTGGTGAATTCAGAGTTCTCAGTTCTGTTAGGTATAACGTGGAGTATGTTTAGTCTCAAAATTGTTTGTACTTTTCTTGGCCTTGCACATTCAGTCTGCCTAGAGCACACATTTCACTTTTTTCCCATTCTATTCCTATTTAAATTTTAGTCCAGTCTAATGATTTCCATAATCTCATGAAAATGGAAAAACTCAGTCTTTCCCCCTGTTGTAGGGGAAACCCAGTTCTTCTCTACTGTATTTCTCTCCTGTGAGTCTCCTTTACTATTCACACAGAACTCTTCACTTCTGACACTTCCGGTCACCAAATGTGTGGAGTTTTTCCCACAATAGGTAATTCTCTGCGACACCAGCTGGATGTCCTACAATTTAACTCAATTCTGACACTATGTACCCGGAGGTAGCATCAGATGCCACAGGTTAAGGGCTCAACCCCACAACATTGCCCCTCACACATACTTGTGTCAACGAAAATAATCCATAACCAATCTATAAATGAAAATTTGGGTGAGTTTATTCTGAGCTTAAATTTTAGGATTATAACCCGGGAGAGTCTTTCCACAAAGGAACAGAGCACTCCAAAGAAGTGGGGGTATAAGGGTGGTTATACACCCTCAAAGAGTATGTTTCACATATGATTGAAATGTCCCTTTTACAATAGTCACGAGGCTGCTCTGTCAGCACAGCGATTGATGGAAACGGCAGATAGGTCTGCTGTCTCAGTGAATGCCACGGGGTGGCAGGTGTGTTGCCTCA